ATGTCTTACCTTGATTTACATGGCACCAAACGTGGCCTTGCGTTCTGGGGCCTCATTTATCATTGTGAATACACCTTTTTTTTTTTTTTTTTTTTTTGCACTTTTTTTCCCCCATTTTGTGCGTACACACTTTTCTCCACCAAATATGTGATCTATCAAACCAAAACTTGACGGGAAAAAGTTCCAGACATTTACACCCACTTGACCATGGCGTACCATGGTGTGCACCCTTATAGGAGGAATTGGCGACACAGGTGCTGAGTCAGTGAATTGCAATCTGCGAGGGAGAGAGGAAGAGCGCTGGGATTTATTAATGCACTATCATGTCTATAATGGCCCAGTTCACCACAAAATGTATCTCAATGCAAGATCATTTCCTCTAACAGGCCTATTTATTGTCTCATATTGATTTATTTTCCACACTTGGCCTTCGCTGCTTCAAACTTGTCTGCGTAATGATCCTCACACACCAAATCCAGCACACCATCAAACCAAATGGCAATAATTGATGATTAAATTGTCATCAAGATGTGATCAAGTACACGACATAGCCTACTCATTTCATTTCTGTCCCTCAACTCAAGTCAAAATAAAACTAAACAAAATCACACCTCTTGCATTTTACTCGTATAAAAAAAGACAGTAAACTTATCATTAATTGTTTGCGTTACATCAGTCTCACAATTGCGTCTGTTTATTGTCTAGGACAGTGGTGATGGTGTGTGATGCGCTTTCATGGTGACTAACTGCTGCACAACTGCACTGACCACAGCTGCCGTGTCCCTCTGGGCACTCAGGGTCTCCCTCTGCACTTCCAGCACTGCGTACGTGAGGACCCCCAACCGGTCACCCTCGGGCACCTGTGCACGGCTGGTGCTGGGGTGCGGTGGGCGGCAGACGGCTGGTGCCGGGGTCCGATGCACTGCTGGTGCTGGGGACGGTGCTGGGGTCCGACACATGGCTGGTCCTGGGGGTGGTGCCGGGTCCGACACGCGGCTGAGGATGACCGTAAAGTCGAGGACAAGCATATTTACGCTTGTTGGTGAGGCCGGGGCTGTGGCTGATTAGATGAGATAGTCTTAATTTCCAGAGGGGAAAATGTTTGGTCCAACGTTATAATGTGTTATCTCTGTTATGATTCTTTAAGACTACGCGTTTTTAGTTATATGTTCTTGTTCCTATAAATCATACCACAGACAGTTCAGTGTTACAGCAGCTGATAAATTGCATTTTTTGTCTGTTTCCATCCATTTGTACTCCGACCATCTTCACTTCACTCCACACGTTCCAGTGCGCACATGCCTACTTTATATGGTATTTCATTCAGGTGCCAGTTTGTATTGACCATATATGGAGTGCAGAGGGCAGGATATGAGGCGTGTTCATGCGCACTTCTCTGGGTTCAGGTGTGATTTATCAATGGAAATTGCACACAGAAGTGCATACACACAGTTTGATAGATCTGAAAAGGGTCTATATTTTTTGGGTGTAAGCCATTTTCGGCATCCACTTTTAGTGTTGGTTTCACACCCTCTTTGATAAATGAGGCCCCTGGACAGGAAGGGTTTGTGTTTTATTAAGGGGAATTATTTGTGGGGTTATTTGTTTTCTGTATCGGTGTGACGCGCTGTGTTAATTGAGTGAATGTCCGAGTCAGACGCATGTTAATTTGAATTTGATTTAATTACACTAAAGTTGAGTTAAACTAATCATAGGAGTCCTTTTCGTTTTTATACAATTTATTATATAATTATATCAGGGGTTTCAGCTTGGCTACGTGAACCTGTGCCTCCCATGACCTGTAAAAGTAGCATTGTGACATAAGCCTCAGTTTCTATTGTTGGCGAATTGTTACAAGCTGATAAATTCGCTGGTCAAGGCTAGGCAAAACGTTAGTACAGGTGAGATGACAGACAGATGGATGTTTTGTCTATAACAAAATAATTTCTGTAGATGTGCTGCAAGAACGGATTCATGCTTAATATACATCTGCAGCCAGAGCACAATACACTGTCAATAGGCTTTATGTGTGGGGAATACCAGGATGTGTTATCCAAATAAGGGCATGGATGTGATTTCCTGTTGATGAGATAAACGCAACTGTCCTCACAGTCCGTGCCGGTGCAGTGAGGGAGAAATGCAGAGACTGCTTCTGTTAGAAGTGCTGTGGTCGAACTAACGGGCAGTCGGACTACTGCGTATGAAATCCGACAGTCGGAATAATGGCATTAAAATGGTCGGATTAATGGGCAGACGACATTATCGGACTAAAACGATAAAACTCGCCGTAGACCTGGATTAGCGGGTAGTCGGAGTTATGGGTAGTCGGACCTATGGGAGGTCGGACTAAGGCCTCGTCCCCAAGGTACAGTTCCAGCTCATTTCATGCTTACGATCTTTTTCAATGAACTCACTACGTAAGTAAAACATTTTATTATTATGATCACTATGTTTTTTTCCCCCTAGGTTTTAGGCAATTAAAGCCCCTTGTTATGTTTAGGCAACAAAGGCACGTGGTTAGATTTAGAAAAAAATATCATGGTTTGGCTTAAAATGAGTACAGTTCTTACTAGTGCTGCACGATTTGATAAAAATGTGCCATTGCGATTTGGGTGGACAATATCGTGATTTGCATTTGCGATTACAATATAATACATAAATGGTATAATGAGTCTTCTTGCTTGATTCAGTGTTTCCCCTACATTATATTAGGGGCGCCATGTCATTGGTCCGACAGCCCATTGGTCCGACATCCCATTAGTCCGACGTCCCGTTGTTCCGATATGTGATTATACTAGGCTATACTGTATTTGTGTACCATAGAGGATCAGCAACGCAACAAAAGTAGGCTACTGGTCGAGATACAAGTGTCATAGAGAGGAGAGAATGAAACACCATAACCTCCTGTTATTAACTCTGGGGTCCGGGTTGTGTGGGGAGCTCTTCGCGGTGCTGAACGGCTCCCGGCGGGCGTATTTCTGCCTTGATGGTGTGCCGTGACCGGCTCTGGGTCAGCTGGGAAAGGCTTGAGGCGAAGCAGGCTCATGGGCTATGCAGACTCATGGCTTATGTGTTTGCCACTTTCTTTTTCATTTTAACCCACACCATGATCTTTTCCTGACCCTAACCAAGTGGTTTTTGTGCCTAAACATAACCAGACCTTAACCACAGGGCATCATGATGATTTCGGAACAACGGGACTTCGGAACAATGGATTTAATATGGTCGGAACAATGGGCTGTCGGACCAATGGATTGTTGGACAAATGAGCAGACCCCATATTAGGGGGGCACTGACCTGACCCGACAGAGTTATTGTGTGTAAATAACCAACCACAGACTGCTGTTACGCACAGTCAAACACGGCTCCTACCCACTCTGTACAGATTTTCTCATTCTTTATACTACAATATTTTCTGCCAGTGTCAGAAATAGCCGCTGCTCAATGCGTATTCTACCACTGCAAAGGGTGTCTGACGTTGTCATCCACTGACACAGCGGGGGTGTTTGACGTGTTAAGCTGTGGTCTGCATCCTTAGAAATAGCCATCACTCGGTGCGTAGTAAAGCACCATGAAAGGTGCCTGCACATTGGTACCCAATGCCAAAATCACTGAGAAAGCGACAGACTAGTTGGAAGTGAGAATGAGCTGGACGAGTTCCAAGTCCTAAAGTTTTAGTTTGAGTCCTAAACAGGTAATAATGCAATCTTAAATAAAAGTAATGCCAATATTAAATTTACAAAAATCACGAATGCTGTTTAAAATTTGCATTTATTTGTTAAAAAGTTACCTAGTCATTAAGCTGTGTTAATATTAGCCTCGACTTGCTGTTCTCAGTGCAACTTCAAATGTCAAACAAAGTTGGAGGTTGTTGTGTGTCCGTCTGTAATTTTTGGCCTGTACATTTTGTATACTGCAATCTGTTTTTTGTTGACCAGCCACATAGTTTTTTGTATAAAATGATCTCTGGTATCATTTTCTCTAACTGGCACTCAGTAATGTAACATGTATTTTCATGGTTCTGAAACTTGATTGAATGTTGCTGGATTGGTTCAAACAAAGTGGATCATGTAGGGAATTAAATATCGACTTGCTGGGTATGAATATCGTTTGGGAAATAAATTGCTTTGTGTCTCCCTTTTTAAATAACTCTTTAATCTTTAGGTTTGGGGGAAATATCAAGTATTTTCACGTCAAAAGTCTCAAGTTGTAAGTCTTTGGTTTTAAAGTCCAATTCGAGTTTCAAGTCTCTTTTTTTTTATCTTACGAGGTCGAGTCTAAAGTCATCAGTCAAGTCTGACTCAAGTCCAAGTCATGTGACTCAAGTCAACGCCTCTATTTAGTAATACTTCATCATTAATACTAAATGTGGGCTTAATTAACCTCAAATGTTTTTTTTCACATATTTTTTATATTTCAAATGTATATTTTTTCTTTGCAGTAACTGATTTATACATCATGTAGAAACACGCTGAGCTGTTTCTTTTTGAACAGTTCGGTATTTTGCATGAGACTCAAAAAGTTTTGCCAGCAAATGATGGCACTTCAGAGAGGGAGAGGCTTCTATTGTGGCTGCAGTCAGCATCCTGATCGCCTCCAGTAACACATGTCAGGGAACTTCAATTCATCAAGAGGAGAGGGAGAGAGAGAGAGAGAGAGAGAGAGAGAGAGAGAGAGAGAGATCAGCATTTTGTGCAAAAAAAAAAAAAACACTTGCACATACACACTGGACTCCCTCGCTTTCTCGTACGCACACATACACACACACAGACAATTTTCTGCCTCCCTCACGCTCCAGCGATCGCAGTCGCACTGGCTGCTGGCTTGCCTCCACACACACACACACACACACACACACACACACACATGCATACATACTGAGTCAGACTCACACTTATTCTCTCTCACACACACTCTGAGTCACACACACTGCAGCAGACCTCACGCTCGCTCTCTCTCTCTCTCTCTCTCTCTCTCTCTCTCTCCCTCTCCCCCTCTCTCTGCGCGCGCTCATCCCGCCTTCTTGCGAGCAGAAAACACTCGGGTCTCCATCGTACGGGACCGGCTGCTGCTTCCTTTGAAGCTCCATTTCTCTGCTCACTCTCTACCAATCATACTCTCTCTTTCTTTTCTTTCTTTTTTACCCTCTCACTCACTCTCTCTCTCTCTCTCTCTCTCTCTCGCTCTCTCTCTCTCTCTCTCTCCCTCTCTCTGTCTCTGCTCATCCCACCACTCTCTCTACCTCGCCGCTCAGAGCAGGGTTGTGTATTGTCGGGGGTTTGTGTTGTCAGCTAGAGGAGGGAACATGCAGCATCCTGGAGGAACATGCGTGGCGTTACCCAACGTGGACGCCTGTCCTCAGCTGTCCTGTGCTGCCCTCACCTTCATGTATTTACAGCAGGTGAGTGAGTGTGTGTTTGTTTGTATGTGAGTGTGTATGTGTGCTTGCAATTTTGTCTACATGAATCTTCATCTTGTGTACATGCCATTGTCTGCTGCTGCTGCTGGACATGGGAAGTGGAGTGGAACAGAATGAGTGCGTGCTCATACTTTGAGGGCAAAATAAGAGAAACACAAAGAGTGTTTGGATGTGGAGCATCTGGAAATGTGTATTGTCAGTTTGTGCCAGTTTGACAGGCATCAGTCCTTCTCGTCCTGCCATCATGCTGAACTGTGTACAGCTGATACTGGGGCTCTCCTCCATTTCTTTGAGGATGAAGCAGGTGAAAGTCAGGAAAGATTCAGAAATGTTGACAGTTGGAGAGAGGATGAATCAGGGCCATCCTGCTCTAGTTTGTTTACATCCGATGAAAAAGCGTAACATTTAGTACCATGTTAACAGTATGTGCCAGATATGACTTTTTTGTTTGTTGTTTTTTTTTAAATACTTTTTCTTCCTACATCATATTGTTGCTAGGTTCAGAACTCCCAGTTTATTGTGTCTTGGTCAGTTGTGACTGTAATAGTGTGACTTTAATCACAGAAACAAACTATTTGTAATTAAATGACAGTGAGATGAGTTTCTGTTGGGGTGATGTCTAGGTTGAACTTTCAATTAATTTTTTTTTTTTTGTAAAGCACCCACATTTTTCTTTTAATTAGTGATGCTCTCAGTAGGCTACTACAATATAAAAGATTTTATCTTTGAGACTTTTGTGAAGTTTTTTTAAAGGACTGATCAGCTATGTATTACAATTATTACTTTGGCCTTTTTGCAATTATTTATAATACATGCAGAAAGTGATAGGAAAGAGGGACGAAGAGAGAGGAGGCAACATGCAGCAAAGGCCCCAAAATGGAATCAAACCTGGCTGCTGTGGTAAGGATACCACCTTAGTACATGGGGAGCACCCTCTATCAGCTACTGGAGCTCCCCATTATATGTGTATTATTGAAAATATACTTACATTATATACATATATATTTATGTGTGGAAACCTTTAATTAGTAATTTTGTTTTTCTAATCTGATCATACTTGTTCATGTCGGCTTGTTTTACTGCAGTGTTTATATTGTAGACAAAGCTTTAACAGCATGAAAAAAACATACATTACTTTGATTTAGTTGTCGTCAACTACTGAGTGACACTGAGTGTCAGTAGTTTAGTGTCCAGTGGTTGGGGTTTTGGCGCTGGGCGGTCTTTAATGAACTGGACTTAGCCCTGTATATTCGAAATGAGTGCTGATGTTAGCGTCTCTCTAAAGAAACTGAAATAATCATTTCTTTATGATAATTTTTGATAAGGCTGATTTGATAATCACTTATTTCTCCAAAGAATCAAAATGAACTAAACCAAGAAATATTTTCAATACGAATGCAGAAGTCACTTTGCAATTTAATTTCAAGTTTAGATCGCACAATGACTCTTCAGTTTGAAATGAAAAAAATGAGAGGTCAATTTTGTATTCAGGTATGGTAGTGTGATGCTGAGTGCACAGAAAATGGTTTGTCAGTGGTGGTGGTTTTTATTATACTCTAATTTTGGCAGTTATTCAGATATGGAAATTAAGAAAAGTAATGTGCAAAAAACGGAACATTTTAATGTTTAAATCATTATTATTATTATTTCAAATGATGATGTTTACTGAACCATTTGCAATTCTCACTCTCACTATTTTCTGTGTATATCAAGTGTGATACACCCAGCTTTTAAAGAAATGCATTTATCTTAGTTTTTTTATAGAATGAAAATGGGAAGTTTAAGCACATATATAAACACTACACACACACACACACACACACACACACATATTGTATGTGTACATACATATCTATTAATTTATTTAGCTGCTTATTTAACCTATTGCTTTTTTGTATTGTATCTTACCAATAATAATATATCACTAGTATCAAATATCAAATATCACAACAATGCGCATACAAACATTTGTGGACAGTAACTTAGAGTATTGCAGCTTTTCTAACTAAAGATACAATATGATGATACGATACAATAAATTTACAGTACGATAAAATATGATATGATATGATATGATTCGATATGATATGATATGAAATGATATGATATGATACGATACCATGCGATGTGATACAACATGATACTATAAGACTTCATGTTCAGTTTACAGGTGGTACAGTCTGCTTCATACATACATTTAAAGGAATACAATTCAGTTTATTGTAGTTATGGTACTTATCCTTTACTCCCCTCTACTCACTGTATCTGCATATAACTTTAGAAATATGAGTTATTGCTATGTATCCATTCTCTTCTATCAGTCAAATTTCAGTTTACTCTTGTCTTTTCACTTTATATTTTGTGGGATGGCTCTTTGGTGTTACCGCAAGTGTCACACAAAAAGTTGGATATATAACCTTTTATGGATACACCAATTTCCACTCTATGTGTCTTAAAAAGACATAATTCTAATATTTAGTTGGTGTTATTATATAATTTAAATGAATGTGTGTGATAATGTAAAATACTAACTTATACTTACTATATACTTTATGATAAAATAAAAACACAAGTTTTTGTAATTTTGCAATGAAAAAATAGCAAAATGATTTTCTTTGTAAGCCATGTGAGTTGCAACATAGACTTAGACATAGGCTATCGTGACTTGAATAAGAAACCTCTACTTCCTGTGCTTACTGATAATTGTCTAGAGGGCAATTAACATGTAGCACAATGTGTACAATAGGTTTGTCAGGTAATTATTGATTTTGTTGATGATTTAGAAATCTCAGAAACTTGTGTTTCAAATATGATACAAATGGCGTTACAGGGTTGGATGATTTGATTTTAATATCAGCAAACACAAACTTCCATACAGTCTATGCTCTTCTGAATTTTTTATCCATATAACAAGCAAAATGTTACACTTTTTTAATATAAGCATGAAGTAGTTTACACATGTGATGAGTTATTAAGGCTCAGACTTGAACTGTATAGAACTTGCATTATAATGAGTGGCTTTTTAAAAAGAACGCTCTTGTTTTGGGGAGAATGAAGATTAATGATCACAAGTTTATCATTTTTTCTCCCAATGTTTTCCTCATGTTTTATTTACTGTCTCCCTTCCAAGTTTGTGTTCACATTTTGAGTGTGTGTGCAGCATGTGTGTGTGTGTGTGTGTGTGTGTGTGTGTGTGTGTGTGTGTGTGTGGAATAATGAATACAGAAGCAGCATTTCTCTGCATAAAGAAGCTGTTGAATGGAAACAGGATCTTGTTTGCGGGAGCAGTGTTTACACCCTGCAGGCTGCTGCTACTGCTGCTGCTGCTGTACGCTGTCCTCATGTTCCTCGATCATTACACAACCCACAGATCAATCAACAGCTGGGATGTGTCCCAGTAGATGGCGCTACACTGTTACACATCCATCACTGTGGGTTCCATATGGTCTCACACTGTTAGCAGGGACTCTGTCCTGTTTCATAAAAACACATGGACAAAAATGAGCTGGTTTGCATCTGCAGAGCCCGCGCAGGGGGGCAGCCAGGCCAGTATCATAATATGTTAAATAGAAATTTCACATCAGCCAATCAGATGATCACTTTATTTGTTCGGGCAAAGTTATTGGATGTACTGCAGTGAGACAAACAAATATGTTAATTATAACATCTAAATTATTCAAATACAAGCCACATTCTGAGGAAAATTATAAAGTTGTAAGAAATATTTATTACATAGATGTTGTGCATGTTACCTTCTCTTCAGAGAGTTCAGTTTAGAGAGATTTTGGTTTCAGCTAATGGGGAAAATAATATAAAATGTAACAACAACAACAACAAAACAATAATGATAATAATAAATATAATAATTAAAAAATGATCAAACATGCTTTACATAATTAATTGACAGAAGAAAACAAAACAAACAAACAAGACAAAGTGTACTTGGAGTATTTTGCTTTTGAATGTGGGACAGTAGAGATTTCCAGAGAGAGGGAGCAGCAGCTGGAAAGGCCCAGGTTTGGCACTAGGTCCTGGGTATGTTTAAGAGCCTGGCGTCCCTGGAACCTAGGATAGATGTGGACTAGTGGGGGAGATCAGTGAGGTGTGTACTGTAGAGAGAAGCTAAGTTATCAAGGGCCTTGTAGGTAGTGATGAGGATTTCATTGCTCTTTTCAATTCAATTCAATTTTATTTATAAAGCCCAATATCACAAATCACAATTTGCTTTACAGCATATGACATCTCTCTGTCCTTTGGACCCTCACAGTGGATAAGAAAAAACTCCCCCAAAAAAACCCTTTAGTAATATGGAATCAAACCTGATTGTGATCACAGCATGAAGAGTTTCTACAGTAGAGAGTAACAGTTGACAGTGCATCAAGGTTATTATAGTTAACTTCAATTAAACTGACATAATAATAAAAACTAGACTTTGTCTAACCCCAAGCCTAACCCTACCTAACACCAACCCTACAAAAAATGACTATAACAAAATAAAAATGATAGCCTACAGGAAATAGCTTTAGTTTTATTCTTTGTCAATTTTGTTAAATTTGTCGACACAACAAGTATGACGCATTGGTGCATTGGAACTGGGATGTTTACATGACTGTGAGTCAATTGCCTGGGCAACATGTGTTTATATTGTCATAACTATTCCCAGCTTCTCAAGTTTTGCCCTTTACAAACAACCTTATGCTAAAACAAACAAACAAACAAACAAAAAAACGACAATTGTAATGCCCTATGTATAAGCAGTCTCTGTGGGAAAGACATGACGGTTGACGGTCTATGTTGGTGCTAAAGCAACATAAGCAGTCACTCAGCTCTGGCTGCATAACTGGACTAAACCACTGTTTTGCCTATAAGGGGTGAGAGAGGCCTCAGAGAACCTCTAACATATTTTTATAAAGTTTGGTCATCCAACTGATTTATTTATGTAACTTATTCATGGCACTTATTATTAGAAATAAAAACAAAAG